ATCCCAGAGAGAGGGAGTATTTGAAAATCATAGTGCACAGAATCTATGGGAAGTTTATGGTGCACCGGCCTTACATAAGGAAAGCTATAAACAACATATTTTACCGTTTCATTTTTGAGACTGAAAAACATAATGGGATAGCCGAGCTGTTGGAGATTCTGGGTAGCATTATAAATGGATTTGCTTTGCCACTGAAAGAGGAACACAAACTTTTCCTTGTGAGGATGTTGATCCCATTGCATAAGCCGAAATGCTTGCCCATGTACCACCAGCAATTGTCTTATTGTGTTACACAGTTTGTGGAGAAAGATTGTAAGCTTGCCGACACGGTTATTAGGGGATTGTTGAAGTATTGGCCGGTCACCAATAGCTCTAAGGAAGTTATGTTTCTTGGTGAGTTGGAGGAAATCTTGGAAGCAACTCAGGCTGCAGAGTTTCAACGCTGTGTCGTGCCTTTATTTCGCCAAGTTGCTCGTTGCTTGAGTAGCATGCACTTTCAGGTATATGAATCCTTTGATTTGCCTAATCTGCTGTTTTGGTACATCTTTTTGGGTCTATTTGGAACACAATGGGACAAACAGAGAGGAAGAGTGAAGAAAAAGAAATTTTAGGGGTCTAAATCATAGATTCAGAGTTTCAAACTTGATAACTTTATTTCAGAAATTTCTTCAAACTCATCATTTTCATTTTATAAACGATTGGAAGTATGAATAAAGAATACATCCCATGTGGGTTTTTTTCCTTCAGAATTATCCATATTTACTTTTAATTTGAATTTTCTGAGGCAAAACCAAACACATGAAAATAACTTTTTGAAGCATTTCTTTTCCTTTTCCCTAGCAGTTTTCATGATCCAAGCATACCTTTCACACTTAAACAGTTCTTTAATATTTTGTTTGGTTCATTAGAGGTGATGAGAGGAAAATAGAAGTTTTCTAAAAAAAATTTATGCTTGGTTCATTTGGGAAGTGAGGAGATACCAAGATAGTAGTATTGTTTTAAACATGTAAAATTGGTATATTTGATATACTCCGTTCTCTTTAAGTATACCATTGTGAGTTGTGACTGTTTTGATACATTTGAAAAATGATTAACGTAGACATAAACTATGTGCATATTCATTTAATTTTTTATGTATCATAAAGGTCATGATGGTGGGTTAAAAATGAATGGAAGGAATGTTTGTTGCTGCAATTTGGAATATATGATTATATGTATGTCTATAATAATGCATAGTACTATGGTTCACAGTACATTCTATTTGCTGCCTCTGAGAGATCTATCCTTAACCAGTCCTATACATTTTTGATGTATCAACCCCAAACCTATACGTTTCGCTAACTTCTTTGTCGCTTAATATATTTAAGGTGTGAGAATAAACTTCCAGTAGGTAATATCATCGGCATATGGCATTTTATTCGAAGTCAAAGGCTACTCATTTTAAGTATGACAAACCAATTATTACCCGTAGTTGATACCAAACGGGGTCTTATTTGTGACAATCAATGTTCAAAATGATGCTTTAGCAAGAATTTTCTGAAGGTTTAGCCTTATAAACTTAGTATATGGGTGGCAGGAAAGAATATGGTAAAAAAATAAGAGATGTGAAATGTATGGAAATGTGCCTACTTTACCATTTGACCCTGGTTGTGATATTGTAAATATATGTTACAAGGATAATATATCATTTTCTTCATATTAAACGGTTTCAACTCAAACATTTCTATCTCTATATCGGCTGATGAGGCTCTAATTGACTTCAACAAAGCAACTTTTTTATACTTTTTGGTACCCACAACTTTCTTATACTATATTTCTTCCCTTCTTTCTATATGATAGCTTGAGAAGCTAGCAAAACGTATAGGTGTGGGGTTGAAATCATTATTCATGAATACTTTACACTTCTTGTATGATTTCCCAACAACCCATTAAGGTCCTACCTAAAAAAGTGTATGATATGAAAAATTTTATTTTGATGACATCTTTGGTACAGGTTGCTGAGAGGGCACTGTTCCTATGGAACAACGATCACATCGAGAATCTAATAAAACAAAACAGAAAGGTGATCCTTCCCCTTCTCTTCCCTGAGCTGGAGAAGAACGCAAGAAGCCATTGGAACCAAGCTGTCCATTGCCTTTCGCTCAACATTCGAAAGGTCTTCTATGATCTTGATCCAGATCTCTTTCAAGAGTGCTTGCTCAGTTTTGAGGAAGAAGAGTCAAAGGAAAATGATGTCCGGTCAATGCGCGCAGCCAGATGGAAACGCTTGGAAGAACTCGCGGTGGGAAATGCTGCGAGCCACGAACCGGTTCTCGTGCCCCGGTTGCGGTCTTCTTGAACTTTTGGTTGTCTGTTCTTTCTTTCTTGAGAGCTTTTGGTTTTCAGTGAGGAGAAGAAGTTTGCAAGTGGATGGGATGCATGTTGTTGAAAGGGAATTGAATAGCTTGTTTTCCTGTTCTTTTATCATCTTGGAATCTTGGATGATGCTCTATCATGACGAAGTTATTATCACTTGTGCAAATATTCTTTGCATGCTAAGATTGTGAAGAATGAGAAAGAATGAAATCTTGTCTTTATTCGCATCCATCAATCATGTGTCTGTGTATACATATATACATACATAGATACACGCGCGCACACACACACAAAGCAAAATTACATATGGAGTATTTGATAAATACTACTTTCGTCTTAATGTATTTATCTAGTTTGATTTATTCGAGACAAATTAGATAAAGTTTATTTACTCTTAATTTGTATTGCATGTTGGCATAATGAAATAAATTTTGAAAATTCTTAACAAGATAAATATAATGAAGTTATTTTTATATGAATACACATTACAATTTTTATTTAATTCAAATTCAATATTCCTTCAGTTTGATTCAAAAAAGGCAAACTAGACTAACGCCCTAGTAATGAGAGTATTTCATAGCTATATCAAATAATCATATTCTATACATTCAGATCGTTCAAGACTTGATTAGAGTCAACATACCGGTGGGTTGGCTGTATGGTTGGTACATTTAGATTGTTCAAGGTTGCTAAGGTGTGTGAATGGAATGAGTTGTGCCTCTCCTTTGTTGGAGGATTAGCTAGTCCTCAAATTTCTAACCCTTAGCCTTAAAATACAGTAAGGTGTTTTTACACCAAAAATATAAAAAATTACACCCTCAATTTTATAATAAAAAATCGTATGTCCCACATCATTTAAAATATATCTTAGGGTACCTTCTATTTTTTGGTAAGTACTCATAGGTCTCACATTATTTAAAATATGCTCCAGAAGTTCTTAAATTTGTGGTAAAGTACTCCAAAGGTACATTCTTTAAAATTTAAAGGATCCCTAAAGTATAATTCAGATAAAGTGGGACATGAGAGTTTTTACCAAAAATGGAAGATACCTCGAAGTATATTTCAGATAATGTAAGACATGCGAGTTCTTACTAGAAAATCGAATGTAATCCAAAATAATTTTTTTTCCAAAAAATATGCACATCAAGTTTACGAGATTGTTCCGATGACATAGATTTTAATTGTTCTCTATGGTGCTCCGTTCGAAAATTCAATACTTTTTACCTTCTAACTCCATCTTAGATCCTCTCCGCACCCCAAATCTCCTCCTCTCCACTCCAATTTATAATAGCAACTGTTGTAAGAAATCGACTTGGGAGAGAATTCAAGAGAGTTTATGAGGTAAGAATCATCATTTTTTTAAACCCTCTACAGTTTTAAACTATACACCCCGGTACATATTTTTTTTAATTTCATAAAATTAAGAAAGTAAAATTTATATTTATTCCGTGTTATTTATGGAAGAAAATAACACACACAAAAGGTTTCCAAAAAGAAAATAAAAGAAAATTCATGGATGAACAAAAAAAGAGAACAAAAAAAAGAGAAATGCTAGATTCACAAACAAGATGGTCATAAAACTCACAAACTTACTACCTGTGAATTTCAATAAAAAAAGTTAAGAGTCTAAAATAATTTTTAAATTAAAAATTTTAACCTTAAATAGTAAGTTTGTAAATTCTGTGATCATTCTGTGTGTGAACCTAGCATTGTTCAAAAAAAACATTATAAATAAGAAACCCTAAAAGCCATTGTGGATTGAGTTCCCTTTTCCATCTATCCTCTCCCTCTAGAC